GAGTTTCCCTCCTTTCAAATGACTCTAGCCTGTGTCAGGCTGACATAAAACTAGACAACACATTATATACATGTTTTTTTAAAAAAATTCTTTTCAGATGAAAAATATTTAAAACACAGAACCACACCACTAATTTAGAATTTTTTAAAAAAGATTGTGTCATAGTCCAAACACCAATAAGACAAAAGCTAAGCATGATTAGGGTGGGGCAACAATTTTAATAGCCAAAGCTGCAGAAAAGCAAACATCCAGCCAAGCCAACTGAGAGTCAATGCCACCTTGGACATCCTGCAGCTAACACATCCAAAAGGCACCCAGGCAGCCAATCACTGTGCATGAGTGAGCCAGAAACTAAGGACAAACAAATAAAAAGCAGCTCCAGGCAGCTGTACACGGGGAAGGTTACAACCCATGTAACCTTCAGACGCTTGGATACTGAGTAAAAATGTTCTCATACCTATCCAGCACACAGCTTCACGGCAACCACATCTACCAAAATGTGATATCATTTGAAGACACAGAACCACCATGGGCTCCAGAACATGCCAAGGGCCTGTAGTAGCCAGGTCTCTGGAACGGCCATCACCCCATTAATGAGACTCCATCACTAAGATCTTGGTACTACGCACACTGCCCACTCCCATGAGAGCAGGTATATACATCGGGAAGGACATGGCACTCACTGTGCCTCACACAGAAGAACCTGTCCTGAGAGTCAAAGCTCAGGCAGATGGTGCAGAGTGACTCCAGGAACAGACGGCCACCTAGCTGCATTGCAATCTGTCCTTACCATGCCTGTACCCCTGTTGAACACTCCTATTAAGGCTGCCCTCAAAGCAGAACTGCTTACAGAATCCCATGGACCCTGCCTACTGTCTGCCAGGTACTGTGTACTGAGTCATGCCCCCAACACACACCCACGGAACAGATGAACGCCTTGCACTGTACACAAGTTCCCCCACCTCAGGAATGAAGGTGCCTATGAAGATAACTACAGCACACTAATTACAACCAGCCCTGGAAGAGTGATCCCCTCTTCCTGCATCCTCCAACTGCTTCAAACAGTCTGCATCTATAGCTTTTCTATAAAAGACTGACTTTTATTAAACAGACCCCACTAAAATTATTTTCACTTCTCTCAAGATGTAGGAGCGAACGGCGTGGGAGGCAAGGCTTTGTTGGGTGGCATACAGGTCTGGAGGGGTTGGGACCTTCGTTGAAATGTACGAGTACAGAGACCATGACATGCCTCAGCGGAGGACACAAACATGTAGCACAGAGAAGCAACCGCTTAATCAGCTTGGCATTGAACTGCAAGTATTGCCCTGCAAAGGACCCAAGTTCAGTTTCTAGAGCCCAAGTAGGTTGGCTCACAACCTCCTGTAACTCCAGCTCAAGGAATCAACTGTCACCTTCTTCTGGACTTCAAGGGCCCCTGCACATTTGGGAACATACCCACAAACAGACACACATATCTAATATCAAAAATATTTTCTAAAAGATTCCTAAGGGCGAATCGTATATACTCATCATAAGAAATATTTTAGAACAATATTTAAACCACATTAAAATGCTCATGGTTGAATACAATGTTCAAAATAAAAGAATATATAAATTTTGTATGTGATCTTACAACCAATCGATAAGATTCTATATATAAGTTTATACACAGTCAATAAACTGAACAGAATCAACTAAACTGCTTATACTGATCAACTCTAGATATGGTACAGCCATGGGTAATTTCGATAAATTTTCTTTTCCTTCTTTCTTTCTGTATTTCCTATTTTCAGTAGTAACTGAACAGGAGGAAAACATCTTATTTCTGCCCAGCTATTAACAGATACAGCTCTACTTGGACAGGCCCAAGTTCTGGGTGCCCACAGTGTTACAGATACAAGGAAGACAGAACCTAGACCAAGACAGTCATTGAGAGACCTCATCTCCCCAAACAGAACTTTCCAGACCAGTCTGTGGGCCACCCCAACAAAAGCTCCAACATGTCGAGTCAACGAGTGGCGCGATGATACATATTTGTAGAGGAGATGGCACACAATCCAGACAATAGCCCCAAAGAAGTGTTTGCTAGATATTGAGCTTAGAAGCTGTCCTTTGCTGTCCTATGGCCATGAGAAGGTCCCCAAACAAAATAAGGGCCCAATTTTCTATGCATCTCTCAGATCTTACCTCTTCCTATAATCTCAAACCTACATGGACTCTGTGTGGGTCCCAAGAGGCACAAGTGTTCGCAAGGGGTATATGCGTATCTCTGTGTGGCTAATTGATGCCCTGCGGTGCCAAGTCCAGAATCTTCAAGAAGTGTTTTCAAATTTCTTCATATGTGAGCCAAAGGGAGAAGTGTGGTGCTCCGTGATCCTGAAGAGACACTTTGAAGTCTTCCAGGCTCCCCTCCACTCCACACACTCTTCTGTGGGCCTGTTTTATCCCTAGGAAGTGGGCAATCACGCTTCTCCAGCCCACTGTGGAAAGAGGAACGCATATAGTTTTGAAGGATGTGAAAAAGCACTCTACTTGTTTGTACTTCGCCTTTCTTTCAAGGAACTGAAGGTGTAAACTAACAAACACAAGCTGCTGGTGGTCTGGTTCTCAGAACTGAGGCTCTCACCACAGACCTGAGAGCAGAGAGTGGAATCAGAACAGGGGGAGAGGTAAACATCGGGGGGGGGGGTAAGAGGGGAGGCCCCTGAGCTTGCTAGCTGGCTAGAATCTTACTGAGGCATACACAGAGACAAGTAGAGAAATGGCACTCTGATGTGGGATTCCTCTCTTTATACTGTGAACATGTTTTATTACCATTGGTTAGCAAAGAATCTTTTTTGGCCTATGGCAGGGCAGAATATAGGTAGGCAGCAAAACTAAACTAAATGCAGGGAGAAAGAAGGTGGAGTCAGAGAGACACCATGTAGCTGCCAAAGGAGATAGATGCCAGAACCTTACCAGTAAGCTACACCTTTTTGATGATACACAGATTAATAGAAACAGGCTAATTTAAGATATAAGAGCTAGCAACATCCTCAGTCATCAGACAAATGCAAATCAAAACAACTCTGAGATTCCATATCACACCTGTAAGAATGGCCAAGATCAAAAACACTGATGACAATTTATGCTGGAGAGGTTGTGGGGTAAAGGAAACACTTCCACACTGGTGGGAATGCAAGCTGGTACAGCCCCTTTGGATATCAGTGTGGTAATTTCTCAGAAAATTAGGAAACAGTCTTCCTCAAGACCCAGCAATACCACTTTCGGGTATATATCCAAAAGATGCTCAATCATGCCACAAGGACATGTGCTCAACTATGTGCTCAACAAACAATAGCAGCTTTGTTTGTCATAGCCAGAACCTGGAAACAACCTAAATGCCCCTTGACCAAAGAATGGATAAGGAAAATGTGGTACATTTACACATTGGAGTACTACACAGCAGAAAAAAATAACAACATCTTGAAATTTACAGGCAAATGGATAGACCTAGAAAACATTATACTGAGTGAGGTAACCCAGATACAGAAAGACAAATATCATATGTACTCACTCATAAGTAGTTTTTAAACATAAAGCAAAGAAAACCAGCCTACAAATCACAATCCCAGAGAATCTAGACAACAATGAGTACCCTAAGAGAGACATACATAGATCTAATCTACATGGGAAATAGAAAAAGACAAAATCTCTTGAGTAAATTGGAGCATGGGGAACATGGGAGAGGGTTGAAGGGGAGAGGAGAGGAAGGGAGGAGAGCAAAGAAAAATGTAGAGCTCAATAAAATCAATAAAAAAAAGATATAAGAGGTAGCTAGGAATATACCTGAGCCATTGGTCAAACAGTGTTGTAATTAATATGGTTTCTATGTGATTATTCATGTCTGGGTGGCCGGGAAACAAACGCGCAGTCTCTGTTTACAGCACCTATTCCTTCTCAAACTCATATGGCCTCTGAAGAAGAACGTGTGGCCTGTCTGTGTAGCCCTTTTCCAAAGTATCAAAGCCACACATCTCTTAGCCAGACCGAGCTGTTCAGGACTCCGGTTTTTGTTTGTTTGTTTGTTTGTGTGGGGGGGGTTGTTTGTTTTGTTTTGTTTACCATTTTGATGACTTTGGATAACTTCTTGACTTGGGTCTGTGCAATGTGAATGTCAGCTGTGTGGGTCACAGAGCTTCTGTAAAGATCACATTAGCCGATACATGTGCAACTCTAAGAAGAGCATCCAGCAGAGAACACGTGCCCATAAGTGGCATTCCTGCCACTGTGCTCTGACTGAGTGTCAGGGTCCATACAGGTCTGCCCAGGTTCAAGGAGTCTTTCAGAAAACAGTCCTCTGGCCTTAGACAGTGAGATTCTACTACAGAAATTGCCACCCCAACTCAGCGCACAGGGTGCCAGACCCTGGGGCCACACACAATAGAAACAATGCTCAGTTATGCCTCCCCAGTAACTGCCTATATCTGGAGAGAAGTGGCCCGCAAGCACACAAGAACCAGCAGTTTGGCAGGAAGCCTGCGTTCTGCAAACCCCAAGGGCAGGAAGTCCACACACACCAAAGGGTCCCCACCACACCCTGTGAGAAGGAAGGGCCAGCCAGAGTGGATGGGATGGGTTGTTTCCTCTTCAAAGTAAGGCTTTGAAGAGACGCTCCAGGGCAGTCAGAAGCAAGGTGGCTAAGGGCACACACATGTTTCTCACACCCACCCAATTCCTGACCTTAATGTCACTTAATAAGGCAGGCCTGGAGTCCTATCTGCAAGCAGAATTGCAAATCACTTGGCTGGGGCTCCACATATGAGGTGGCTTTGTAATATGAGCCGTGTGTCCACTAACAACTAGAGCGAGACCATTAAGTTCATTACACCTGTCACTCTGCCAGCTGAGTCGCCAAACTGCCATGATAAAAGTACATTATGCCCAAGGAGTGCCACCCAACCCCCTCCCGGACAGCGTACACCCATCGACAGCAGGCAATTTGTTCTTGGTGTCTGTACCTGCATAAAGAACACAACTGTAAACAGCTTGGAACACGGCTATGGAAGACCTCGGGCTCTGAGCAGCTGAGTGCTTCACTTTCCTGGGAAGAAGAACATGGCTGTAGACCAAGATGGAGACAGAGACGGACAGCCTAGTAAAAAACAGAGTAAAGAGGGACCGAGATTTGTTAAGCAGATTCTGCTGAACAACCCAAAAGCGGTGAGAGGCACACCCTTTCCACCTCTCAACCAAGTTCCAGCACTCCGGGCAGCGGGCAAGGCCTTCTGGGCAGCTGCACCTTCCTCCAGGCCTCAGGAGCAGCACATAGCCAGCTGGGCTGCACAGTGGGTTTGCAGTGCAAGCGTGGTGCAGACAGCAGTAATTTATTTATCCCTGTCATGTAACATTAACAATCTGTCTGGAGCTTGGCAAGCACCAACTTGCACTGTCATATAAACTGTCTGACAAACTTAAAAGTTTCATAAATGCTCCTCTTTCCCCAACAGACAACAAAGCATCATTTAAAAAAAAAATAGTTGTTATCTTTTCTGTCCCATCTCTCTCTTCCCTTTTTAAAAACTAAAGGAGAACAAGAAAGAAAATCAGCCACCAAAGAACCCACGCAGTCAGAAGTGACCTGTCAGTGATCTCCACTGCCTCACCGGTTTCCCAATACCAAGTAAACAAATGAATGGGGTCGGGGGTGGGGGCAATATGGGGTCAGCTGTGAGGGTGCGGGGGTACTGAAGAAAAATCTGCCAAACAAAAATATCGTCATTAAAAATTAATAAAGGGTGTGGACATCCAGCCCCCACCTCGCTCCACTCGTGGGAATTGGAGCCAGACATTCTGCGTCCTCCTTAAGTGGAAGCTGGCAGGCTGTCAGGGTTTTAGTGGGTTCTGGGAATGCCAATATATTAACCAGAAGACTTCTTGCATACCCTTCAGAGTTTTTATTCTAGAAAAGTCAACCATTTGGCACAGTGGAGCCTTATTTTTGTCCAGGAAAGCTCTCGGCTGCCAATCAAGGGAGAAATTACAGCTACATTCTTCATAATTTCCAAGACCGAACTGGAAAACAAGCTCGGTGGAGAGAAACGTCCTCACAAAACAGCTTAAAAAGGCCAAAGTACCATTTTTAGGAGGAATTCAAAGAAAAGCAATTCATATTTAAATCAAATGGATATGGATCAAAACAGACCTTATTCTCAAGTCTTCCTGCAACAGAGGAAAACCAATATTAATTGGAAATTTGAACCCAATAGAATCCATAGCCATGAACAGTACCAGGTGCTTGCTTATTTCCTTTTGTTGCCAAACATGAACACAAGCAATGGCATACATGTACACATGAGCCACGTGCACACACGCATGTGTCCATACACACACATACACACACACACACACACACACACACACACATCTCCCCTGAAAGTGGTAGGTCTTGGGGTTATAAAATTCAAATAGTATGCAGAATTCTTGTTCCTATTTTGTGGGGTAGGGGCATGCATGTGTAAGTGTTTATGTGTGTACACACGCATGTGCTGGCCAGAGGTCAACATCAGGTCTTTTTCAATCTCTCTCCACTGTATTTTTTGAGTCAGGGTCCTTTCATTGAACCTGGAGCTCACCAAGCCATCTAGACTGGCTGGTTAGCAAGCTCCAAGGATCTGCTCATCTCTGAACCTTCAACACTGGCTTCTACATGGGCACCAGGGTTCTTAACTCAGGTCCTGGTGCTTGCGTGTCAAACATCTGACTGACTGAGCCATCTCCCCAGGCCCTGTTTTCTTATTTTAAAACTCACTCACAATTCACTTCCCGCGTACACTCATAATATAGGTCAAGATGTAATTCATATTTAACACAGCCCATGCTGGCAGAAAGTAACTTTGACACCAGAGAAATAATGGCTTCTGAGAGATTTTTCTACCAAAAAGGACTAAGGGCACAGAGAACAAGTGAGCCAAGGACAGATGGGGGAACCGAGAGGAGGGAAGGAAAACATGGGAACACCGCAGTTGGCCACTACCAACAGCTACTACCCATGTCCACACGAATCATGTTGAGTAACGCCAACATTTTCCAGGTTAAAATGCTACACTCCTGGGAGGAGGGGCGAAAATGGAAACTTTTATATTTTAATAAACTTTAAAAAAAAATGCTACACTCCTGTTACTTCTCTGCTGTCACTTTCAACTCTGACCCCAAAGGAGACACGTATGCTGGAGACTCCACAAGCCCAGATACAGTAGAAAAAAAAGAGGAGACATGACCAGGGGTTCTATAAAGATTTAACCAGTCTACACGCTTTCGGGTATTCCTGCTCAGAATCCTACCGGTTTTGGCTTTATATGATGACATAGGACCATCCTACATGCCACTATAAAGTGACTGACAATGTGGGGTACATGCACAGGGATCCAGAGTTTGGGGGTCTTTACTTACCAGCCAGCCAGAAACTACCCACAGGGAGCAAAAGTCATCCTTTCTTCTCTTTGCTTCCCTGCCAGGTGAGGAATCCACCCCTCCAGCAACCCGGATAAAGAAACAGACAGTGACCCATGAGCTACAGGGCTGCTCTGCCAGGCTGCTAAGTCAAGCAAGACAACAGCACTGACCCAAGCTGTAGACACCTCTGCAGACGGCTCCCTGCTCTCAACAGGCCAGGCAAGAAAACTCTTCTTAGAACAGTTAGCAGTTGGGGGAAAACAAATATTTGCCTATGGATGTCTATATTCTAACGGTGAACGGTGGGGAAAGGACTGTGGAGCCTCCAATGATATGCCAACGGATGGCCACGGAATCACTCAAGAGGCACCTGGCATTGGCTGGGCGCCATTGCGGGATCGTGGTCGTGAAAAGCAAGCACCCTAAAGGACTCAAAGATAGCCGTAACTACCTGCTGGCAAGAGTCTGCTCCAACACAAATACAAACTTACAGGAACTGGAGCCAGAGACATGGGCAGTGAACTCTTACAGGGGTCAGAGTGGAACGCTAAGACACTAGAGGGCTTTGTTGTTGTAGGAGTTGTTGTTGTTGTTGTTGTTGTTGTTGTTGTTTAAACAAGGGGAATGGTAGCTACAATTCCATTGCAGTAATCCCTTTACTGACACTTACAGTCCCGGATCCAATTCTTAACTGTGTTCTACATTCATAGTAAAGTTGTCTCTTAAAGAATTAAACTTCCACAGGGATGGAAACAAATACTAAATTTCAATAAATACATATGAATAATATTCAGACCCATTCATTGTCCATGTCATGATTCAAATTTTACATCGCTCCTTCACAGAACATATATTCTATATTCCAAAAGGAATGTGCAAAGGCAGAGTCACGATGCCAGTGAGCCGAATTTACACTCGAAGACTGTAGCTTCTCTCATACAAAATGCAGGCCTGGCTTGGCGTGTGTATACTTCATAGAACCTTCCATGAAAACCAACACACAGTCCTGAAGGCCCGGGATAATTAGAGGTAGGAGGATAAAGTATGGGGACACCCGAACTAATAGAAAGAGCCATGATAAGTGAGTTTGGTAGTGCTAACCCAGCATAGGACCCTGCTTCTTGTACCTGGTGCTAGGACTGAAAGTCAGGACCTCAGCATCCTAGGAAAGCCAGCTGCTGGGGAACATTACCTCCCCTCTCCAGCACTCTACTTTGAAGGTCCAGCAGGACTCACCATCTCTACCTGGGTCCACCTCTAACACGGTTCTTGAGCGTCACACCCCAGTGTGAACACACAGACGGTCACCAATAAATATCACAGTCATAATTAATTCTAACTTTTAGTGAGGCGTTTCAGGGATGGCAAGGTGGCAAAATAATTAGAAAAGAAGGGAGAAAAAAAAACAAAGAAAACACACAGAGGAAAAGAAAAGCCAATCAAAATAATCCGTTCTAGCTCATTAAGAGTCTTTGTGGAAAAACAGAACACTTTGCTGACTGATGTGGCCACTGACACTCAGCAATCACTCCTGTACTGGGGCAGAAACTAGGAAGCCCCACTTGTTTTAACGAGTTTCTTGCTGTCCTGACTGGCCAATGCAATGACTCTCCAGGTAACCCGGAACAGACACGCCTGGTGTGGGCTCTTGGAACGACGCCCACCCACCATGCACCCCTGTAGTCCTGAAACCTCTGCACACCAAGAACCCTCCAATTAAAAAAAGAAAGAAAGACAGACAAAAGTTTAAAAACAAGCAAGCAAATGCTCTCTGTGGCACCACAGCGAGTTAACGCACAGAGAGCCTACTGTCTCCTAGCAGCGTACTCACAGGGCGCGCCCCCAGCCGTGCCCAGACGGCACGCCGGGCAGGGGTCCCGGGAAGCCTCCTCCAGCCTGTGGAGTGCAGAGCCCACAACAAAGGCAAGTGCAGGGCCCAGCTGGGTGCTCTTCGCTTCCTGTTTATTCCACCGTGAGGGTCAAAGAGAAATTCAACACACGCCTGCTTCCTCCCGGCCCGGAGATCCAGCCTAAGTGTAACAGCAGCCGCCCCAGACAATCGACTTTGCCAACCAATGCCAGGAGCCCCGGGCAGCCCGCGGCCGACGTCAAAGAGCGCGGGAGGGGGGAGTGGGGGGACCCGGGGAGACAGTCTGAAGGCTGGGAACCCTGGAGCCCTAGAGCCGGGGCGCAAGGTGCAGGGGGAGGCTCCCGCGCCGCCTTCTCGCTGCTGACCTCCAACCCCCCCACGACTGCAGTAGTTCGCACACAGGCCTAGGAGCGTCGCCGCCTGGGGCACGCACCCCCGCGGCGCCCACCCGGACCACTGGGCACTGCTGGATGAAGCAGCTTCAGCGGGACACTCTACAACACCGGGTCCCGGTCGGCAAGACTCTGCCAGCCGAGCGCTCCGAGGATGGCCAAGCGTCCCCGGCCGCCCTCGGCGCCCACCCGCGGCACTGCCTCGCAGACCTGGTGCGCGGGTCTCGGGGACGCCAGGGCTGGCAGGG